TCATGCGCATGAGTTTCTTTGACATACGAAACTCAATTACTTGAGTCAAGAAAGTCAAGTGTATGACTTCCGAAAAAAATACGTTTTGCATGAAGAAAATATCTCCGCGTTATGAGACTGTTACTCAAGAGACTCAGGAAGTCGCACGCTTGAGAAAAACAGCTTCAATAGGGCACTACTCATAACGTAGTAATTTTTTTATCGAAACTAAATAGGTTTTTCAGTATCAGAGTCACAAGGCTTTTATTACTTAGAAATGTAACAAAAACTGAACATCTTCAGTTGAGTCTGGCAACGGATCCAGCAGATATTTTTTCTGTTCGAATAACATGCACATATACATGATGGATTTGATCTAGTTCTTTGCCAAGTTCAACTGAAAATGTTCGGTTTTTTATATTTTTGAGTAATAAAAGGTCTTAAGATTCTGATACTAAACAAACTGTTCAGTTTCGTCGAAAAATGAGCAAGTTATGAGTGGTAGATCCTAGAATAAACTTCGTGTTGTATTTTCTTCGTCCACTATTCTACGTAAACGTGAGTAGTGGAGAGAAAATATTCTAACTTTTACATAAAGCCATATAACACTTATATTTGAAAAGAAATCGAAAACCTGTGCCAAAATTACAACATCGAGGGAAAACGACTCTATGATATTTTAAAAACTTAACCGCACTTTGACGGTTTGTACCTCTTGATGTTATAAAGTGTTAATTTGATGTTTACGCTCTCCCTTTCTCTAAAGAGCTAAGAAAATTCCAAAATAAAACATTGAAAAGACATATTTGAGAACACAAAAAACTTATAATTGTTGATAAAAAGACGTTTGAGAGTTGGGATGACTTCCATTTTATAAGACAGTGGCTTTATGTAAAACGATATTAAGCTATACTTTATTGGTTTTTTATATATCCGAGCAACAAAAGAGTGCAAGGACCCTTAAAGAAAAAATAAAAAAAAGTCAGAATAGACGATGAATTATTTTCTGTTTCCGAGACATCGATATAATAGAGTTTAGTTTGAGTCTTACATCGAAATTATAGTGCACTCTTTTAATTTTGTCTGTAACTATTTGAATTATTTGGTATGTGTTGTATTTGTCGTGTCAATTCATCATCAGCATTTTCTTGTGATGACAGCCACAACTGTGTCATACACAATCGGTCATCTGCAATGTCTTTCAGCCATTCAGTTACACATTGCAGACCTTCTTTTAATGCAGCCTCTGAGTTTGCTCGAAATTAAATATTACCGTTCATATTATCGTAAAGGATTGAACAATTTTTGTTTTGATATGTGCAATATATACCTATTTTAGTTAACAAAGCTCGCATGTCCTCGACAGAAACGTAGGGCATTTTCATAGAGCCTGAGTGATCCATCGTAAACCAAATGAAACCCTAGGAAATACAATAAAAGTATTGCAATAATGAATCGAGACAACAGATTCTAGATAAGACAAATTGTAAGCTATAAATGTTTCAGGGGGAAGAAACAGAAAAAGTGGAGAAGGCAATTACCCCCCAATTGCGGTCCGCCAGTGTAAGAGAGAAAAAAGCAGAAAGTAACGTTCTTGCTTGTGAGAACAAGTTCTGAAACCTATAAATGGCAAACAGAACAGTTTTATTAAAGTAAGAAATAGACTACATGAATAAATTTTGTCTGAAAAAAATGAGTTGTCAAAAATGTCGGAATTATATTTGATAATGCTGTTCAAATTGTTTTTTGGTTTTCTCGTTTAGTGCATCTAATCTAGCCAGCTCTTGAAGTTGATATTTTGTGGGCTTCTCTTGTAATGCGGAAATGTGAAACGGTCTTAAAATAGCCAGATCTTGTAGCCGTTTCACTCTGGATAAGGATACATAAGCAGCTGCAACTTTGGATCTGTGACCTGGAGGAAATACTAGATCAACAACAATTTTTGGTATTGTTTGTCCTTGTGGCTTGTAGGTGGTAATGGAATACGCCGGTACTAGCGGAAGCTGATTTCGAGTTACTCTCAATTTTGTTTTATTTCCTTTATATTTGATTCCATATTGTTCGAGAAACGGTTTGACATCAATTTCAAATACTTTTTGGATTAATGGAATAGGTATTATCTTCGGTTCTAATGTATTTAGAGGAACAGTGACTTTCGATTTTTCAATCTCCACCAATGCGTATAATGGTTTTTGAATATATATAGTATGCGTTGGAAAACTTTCTTCATCCATTATATCAGGGTTCACTTCTGCCTCTTCATAGACTAGTTTACGAAAAATGCCTCTGGTTCCATTGGATAGAGCCAATTCTGTTGCTAAATTATCCGTTAATAGAACAGGCATACCAGCTAGAAGTGGTAAATAACCAGGCAATAATTCTGTTCTATTGTCGGGTAACCTAAGCAAAAACTTGAACAAATTAGGATTCTTTATATCTGTTTTAATCTTGTCTTGAGCAACGCAAACAACTGGCTTGTAACCATCTTTGCACGTTAGTGAAATAACGGCTTTATTATTGAGTTCAGTACGCAGTTCATTACGGAAGACAAGGAGCGGTGCTACCATCCACATTGAGTCCTCTAAAGATTTTACATCATTATCTGGATGAACAACACGTGTTAGCAGCAACTGATAATTATCCTCCGTGCATTTTCCTTCACGAAGGCGTTTCAACAGATCCAAATACTGTGTATCAGTTGTTCTCATTTGAACTTCTAACTTAACAACAGTATTGATTTGCATCCATAATGATCTACCAGCGGCCTGTTGGTTAAGTTTGTTCGTAGTAGATCGGGTAATGGTGTCCCCTTCATGGTCTATCTTTTCGTCGGGTTTGGCTGTGATGATATCAGAATATAAAGGTTTGTCACCAACCGGAGAATATTGTAAGAAATCACCAAAAAAAATGACATTGATACCGGCAAATGGTAGACTCGGATCAGTCCTTTTTGCTTCTGTTAATTTCTTACCGAACCGTGCTAATAATATTAAACCTACCATTGACATTTCATCAACAAGTAAATATTGAACTTGACACCATTCTTTCTCAGTTATAGTGTCACCAGGTTTTCCTCCTTGCTTCGATTTTCGCGAATATCTTGTGTGAGGAGTCAAAGATTGAATGGTAAGGGCATCAATTTCGGCTGCAGCAATCGATGTTGGCGCCACTTTTCGTAGTAAGCAGCTGCGCTTCGTCAACGAAAAATATTCTGTTATGGCTCGAATGAGTTGAGATTTTCCTGTTCCACCTTGACCTGGTACACACATCAATAATTGACCTTGTTTATCATCTATTGAAAATAGTTACAAAGTTGCTACGCTTAGTATGCAACGTTAAGACACATACTTGTTCTCAAGTGGCTCTTCCCTTCAAGATGTTGTGTTATGATCATAAATGCTCGATGTTGTTCTGTATTAAGACAGTATTGTGTTTTAGACACATATTCTTGCTGTGCTTTTAACGACGAGACTGATACTTGTCGAACAAGTTCAGTGCTAACATTATCTTGGGCATCATAATGGGATACAGTCAGATCAATATGTTGATTTATAGCTGCAGAAGAATCGTCAATATCATTCACATCGGCATCACCATACAGTATTCGTTCTCGTGCTTTTTGCTTTGCTGTCTTCAAATCCTGCTGCCACTTTTTATTTAATTGAGCAAGTTTTGTTGTCATAAGTGTCACAAACGATTCCGTACAATGGATATTAGGGTTCGTGTGGTTAAATTGTGGAGTTATCGATGAATCACTGAGTAAATTTGCTGTATCTGTTCAAAAATAGAATGTTATGATTTGAATTCGCTTTTTTTTTAATACTTACTTGTCACATTTGGAAAGCGTTTAGTTGCTATCACTGCACCTACAGCTTGATTCACATAAACAGAAGTAGATTTTGGTATTTGATTCAATTGAAATAACTTGTTGACATTATGATAATCGTCTAACAGTTGAAGTAGATCCTCAGAATCGTCGATATCTTCATCTTGGTCAACATTACGATAAGTTAAAATCGGTTCGATGTTGGAATCTTGTCCTGTATTTGACTCCTGTATTACTTGCAAGAGATGAGCATCACGATCTTCTTTACACTCATGAAGAAGTTGGATATTCTGTATTATTCGGTGCGATTCGGATGTAATCAAGTGTTTGTATAATTCTAACGCTTGGTCCCAAGTTTGATGAACCTCACATAGATCTTCAACTTTTCGCCATGGTACGAATAATGCTAAAAGACATCGAGCATATCGTTCCTTAGTCTCTTCTTTGTCTTCCCTTGGAATTTTGGATCCAGTTAATACAGGGACCACTTTGATTGATCGTTTTACCAATATATGAGAGTCGTGTTGTGCATGAGTGTCTTGAAAAACGAATCTTGGGTTTACTGGCTTGCCAAGCTTTTGCTGTCCGTTTGTTTTATCGTCTTCTGTGCTTTCGCCTTTGTGCGCTGGCACATATTGAATGGGATCTTGTTGTTCAAGATTTTCTTGCTCATACTCTGCCTATCTGAGATCTTCTCTACGATTCTGTTTGCTCTGAGTTTTCATTAATTTGTTATAAAAATACCTTTCGTCATTTTTATCTTTCCTTTTCTTGTGGTACAGAGAAACAAACTCATATAAGCAAATGTTTTCCATTTCTGGTGAACGTGATTGATAGTCAATACGAGTATTGACAAGTGCAAAGTATTGCAATCATTCGTGGTTTCTACTACAAATTGTTCTTCAGCTTCATCATTGTCTGTCTCCTCAGGATTGTCTTCTATTAAGTTATTGAAACTAGATTGCTCTTGTAACAGCGAACTTAATTTATACTTTGATGTGTCAAGCATAGTTCTTGCAGCAGATGAACATTTCTCTAAGTACATTTCAATACCGAGCAAGAAAAGGTTTGCGAATTTGTGAGATGTATAATGGTCGGGCCAGTTCATTAGATATGATGCAACTTGAACCTCTGATAACTCTTGCTGAGATGCAATAGTATTATAGCAGCGCAAAACAAGTTTTCGTGACCTTTCATCAAAATCATCAGTGGAGCCAGCTATAATTTCTTTATCATACGATTGTACGGCTTTATGAACAAGTGCAAAAGTATCGTAGAAAGAAAGACTTGACTTGGTAACGTAATCTGTTATGTAATAAACGAGTGCTTTAGTATCTGAGCCCGACCAGATGAATTTTATATCCATGTTACAGCGACATGCACTTATAAGCCACTCATTAAAATTATTGATCCAAGCGTGAGATCGCTTCATGTATATATATCCAGTTTTAATATCTATGCTTGATAACAACACTAGTAGTCTGGGAAAGCGCATTCGACAGGTATGTTTTACTAAACCCTTTGAATATTTCCAACATGTGCTTGTGTGCTGCTTGTTGTGTGTATTGCACTGTTCAACCAATTCAATAATATCCTTTTTAAATAATTTTCTGAAGTCCGTAGCACGTGGATCAGGTGTCTTCAAAGAAGCAGCTGCAATAAATCGTTTTTTAGCTGGTTTATCTAAATGTATATAAAGATAAAGCTTGTGAATACCAATTCGTTTCTATTGTGATTTTACCCGGTTCTACGTTATCCGCAATAGTTTCTACTATGTTTTTGGCTGGTGATGGAAATCGGCTATGGAAATAACACATGAGAGGTGTTGTCGAATCCACATAACAGTGATCGAACGGTGCCGCTATCGGCGTTATACACTGGCACAGATTACGGCGTGAAAAATTGACATAACAGTAATCATAGGGGTAGGGTGGTGGGGTAATACCAGTTTGACATGTTGTATTGCTAGCTGAAGTTTAAAAATTAAAGCGACCAATAGAAAATTATACCATCATAAGCTAGAAAGCTACATTTACCAGCGGATGAATTGTTGTCATCATCACTACTTTCACTATCAGTATTTCGGATGAAGATATCCAGGTCTTCTTTAATTATATCTTCTAAGTATGAAATTAGGTCGTTCGAAATTTTTCGTCTTGAATGCTTTCTTTCAGTTGTGACGGTGTTAGATTGTGGTCCAACCATATTAACATATGCAGATGTAGAGAACCACGTCCTTGAGATTCTACTGTTCCAAAATACGCCTTTATCGGTCCCAACACTCCTTTTTTTATCATCGTCTCTATCAATATAGAAATTAAACGATGGAAAAATTTTCCCATTGCCACTGGGTGTGATGCTACAATTTGTGCCCTCCTGTATGTAGAAGGGAAATCATCGTCTGCTATTTTGTCAATATCAAGGTTTACACCGACAAAATACATTGCCACCGGACTAGATATATCAGCTGGATTGATTGTCAGAAATATACTGGACAAACCTTGTTTAAAGATAAGAGCGTGTATCTGCGTGCGAAGAGTAGAACGGGATTGAGCAGACCCCATGACGTATCCACCAACTGTTCTTATCTGTTTTAGTAACGTGTTCAGTTTTGGATCAGTTTTTGATGTATAAACATTTTTTGAAATATTTTCAAGAGCTCTTTGGATGTCATCGCTGCTTATTGTTTGTAGTTCATCCAAAACCTTTTTAAAGTACGGTTTGGACACCATTAAACGCGCATGTAAAGATGCAATACGTCTTTGCAAAATATTGAAGACAAGAAAAATGAAAGAATGTTTTTGTTCAAAGCGTTTATCATGATATGACAACAAGTATTGAATATGAGACTGAAATGAGATTTTGATGGGACGCGTCTTGTCTTCGATTCCTCCCACACCGTAAGAAAAAAGTACAGGATATAAACCTATGAGTAAAAATATAGAGAATCTTTTCTGGTTACAAAATCTTATATTTATACCCATTAATAAACTTGGATTAAAATATCATTGGCTGGTTTTGAGGAGTGGCGAATAATATAAACTAGATCTTCGTTTGGCCGTTTGTCCGACCATAACTCCCCATTTACTGAGAGCTTTTTAGAATTACGGGGAACAAACATCTCTCGTACATACTGATTAATTTCATCTGATGTAACATTAGTGCCGTTAACATCAACTAGTCCACTTGTACTACATGGAACTCGATCATCGGCTAGTGATTCGTCTTCATTCACATCTTGAGCAACCGGGTCATTCACATAGCCTTCCTTGTCTACTTGACTAGCGTTATGATTAGCTGTAAAATGCATGGTATCCAGTAAAGGTTTCGGTATGTCATCGACTGGTAGGGCAGAAATGTTTTTCATGTCAAGGATGATATCTTTGTATAAATTATTGTTTTGTTTCAACCAGTTTAGAGCGCATAATACTTTTTTCTTCGTACTGTTAGTATAGTTTTTAAATCGCCAGGTTGAGGACGTTTAAGACCGACAAAAACCACCTTAATTGAATCGCACAAATCGTCTAGCGGTATAGGAAGCTTCGGTAAGATACGCGATAAATTCTGTGGAAAAGATATTACGTTGCCCTTTAGTGCAGATTGCCTGGTAGATGTACTGTGAAAAGAAGCCTCAAGTTTTATTACGCAACTATTATGTCGATAGAGGGATATTAGTTGTTGTTCTGGAAGAGTAAGTTGTTTGAGTTCATCAGGAACAGTACCAATCCACATTTTATTTGCGGCTGAAAATTTTGGAACTGTTGGATTTTTCTCACTTGATAATGATGAGAAACAGTTACGACAAATGTTGGACTTTGTGTCACCACATATTGAAGGTAAGGTTTGGTCGGGTATTTCTATACCTTTTGCGTATAGTAATGCACCTTTATAGCAAACATCATCTCCTGAAACACAATTCAGTAGCAACACACATTATTAACAACCTAGGTCAAACAATTCTATTCGGATCTAGGATTTCGATAGGATTCACGAAATCTTATGAAATTCTATAGCAAGAATTCGTTAGAATGTAATGAGTGTGATATACGTTGCTGGCTTTGAAAGAAGAGAATAGAATCTAATCCTGCTATCTTTTTACGAGGGCATCGCTATTCGAAATCAGCTGCGAGGACAATGAGGTATATTTTTCGTTCTGTACTTTTCAAGAAATAGTTGGACCATATAACAGAAAGTATGTTTCTGCAGGATTGAGCGGTAAACTGATACTATTAGTGTACCATTACTTACGAAAAATGGTAAAATCCTATACAAGGGATAAAATAAATAGCATCATGAGATTCAGTATACTTGATTACCTATGAAACATTTGTTTTCAAAACTTTTAGGACCTAATAGTTTAAAATGTTGTTGGTCTGGGCAAATTGAGCCTCCCGATCGAACTAAACAGAAGTACGAAGTCGCTTAGATCCAGTTTTGTAGAAGATACTTCGGGCTATCTGTCTATGAAAATATCGATAGATTATTATTCCATTTTTGGAAAATTGCAGTTGATTTTCCAAAGATCCTCTCCAATCAAATCTGTCTCTTAGTTTTTTTCAAAAACCATTTTTAGCTTGTGAAAACATGCCTACAAGTGTTATCGGATACTGAAAACCGCAAGTCTCTACCTTGTTTCTAGCAAAAGTTGTTCAAGAAATAGCCACGGCTGTTATATCTTGAAAATGGCAGTAGTCATGATAAACGTACCATTAATAGTTGCATTGTCTTTCTTTTCTGTTGGAATGATCTCGGTATCACATGAGTTTTGTTGTAGCACAGGAATAGTCCAGTCATATTCATAAGCTGGTTTCAATAAACTTATATTGGGGATTTCTGACAAACTTAGTTGACATATTGTAGATGATAAACTATTACAGACACAGCAGACTGATTCCCGCAAACTGGACATTGACATTTTGTCAATAAAATCTTTTAAACACTTAAGTTTCAACTGCCTCGAAATTTTCATTGGCCATTTTACTTCTTGATTTTTGATCTTCAACTTTCGTACCTGTCTTCGTATACTATCGTTGTGTAAACGGTCGACGGTTTCTTTCCCCCTTTTATATATATTATAGCTTTGCTGTTTCTCTAATCGGCTTCTCTTCTCAAGAATTGTCTCTTCAGATCTGTTTTGTGAAACACGCTGTCGCTTTCTTTCCAATCGATTTGTCCTTTCAAGAGCTGCTTCTTCAGCTAATTTTTGTGAGTCATGCTGTAGCCTTCTTTCCAATTGACTTGTCCTCTCAAGAGTTGTTTCATAGTCTTTTCTTTGTTGAGTATATTGTATCATTTGAGATAATCTCTTTTCACTAGACTCATCAATTTTTTTCTGTTCACCAGTGTTTTTTGATTGTGTCCTAGCAGGAACAGTTTTTCGGATATTGGTAGTAGTATTTAGTTGTCTCTAAAAAAGTAATGGACCAAATATTTCAAGAAATGGGCTAGGATCCAATCAAAGATGATAGAAAATGTGACAAAAGTACAAAGTGACTATTATTGGATGAAACACGGAATGAAAGGAAAAGGAGTAAAAATATATTGAATCTATTATTGTATCAATGAAAAATCTGCCAACATATGTAAAGCTTTTTCTCAACAGCTTATAAACATCTGGTATAGTTATCAGCTATGCATCGACATGTTTCAACAGCTAAATTAGGTGCACATATTAAAACTAAGAGTCGCAGGATCTAATCACTAGTCAACTCAAAAGTCTCACTAGTATCGATCTTATCATAAACATCCCAATCACCTAGTTGAAGTATTCGAACATGTACCACGAAAGACCCATATAATTAATTATACTACGTTTTGAATGGCGATTGCTGTACATGAAAAGTTGATCTTTTTCGAGTATGCTTGCCCTTTCGGGGAAGAGGAATTAGCAAATTTCTGTAAAGCATATTAAAAGAAACTTCTTAACTTACGTTTAGAATAGTAGTTATTTGTGATTTTGTGTTTCGCCGAGGAAGTGACAGTGGAAGCAGAGGGACGAAATGGTTAGGAACCCATTCGTTTCCATTACTATACTTCCTGACATCGGATTCACTTAAAGTATGCGTCCACAAAAGTGTTATTGTCCTATTCTTGTGAGTGTTATTAATAGGCGTTGGAGTATATTTTAGACGATATGCATCTGTTGCCAGAGACGTGCCAATATTTGGAAAAATAGATGGAATTTGCCATTGAAGGACGTTACATAGCGCTACCAGTTCATAAAGTTCCGAAAACTGCTTATCTTGAACCATATATTTGAAATAATCTTCCACAAGATGAATCGATGAATTGTACAAATTAAAATTTTCTATCAACTCCAAGACTGTTCGAACTCGAAGTTCAATCGGTGTTACTTCATGTTTTAAAGGAAGCAGTTTGATGATGGAATTGTATAAGCAATTGCCATTCCCAATTGTGTCATCTGGTATTAAATTTTTAATGTCGAATTGATTACACTTGAATAAGTATTGTTGAGATATTGTGTCTATTTTATGCAAACGAGTATCGAAAAACTTCAATGGTGTAAAATCTAATGTTGGTAGTGGTGGATTTAGCTCTTTTATTTGTTCACAAATCCGGGAAATTTGCTGAAAATGGTCCGTTTTTCTTGACGCTCGTTGGAACGCAGACAATAATTTTTCAAATTTCTGATCTCGAGGGAGTAGATTGCAAGTGGTACAAGATCCTATATGTGAGGAACGTTCACAATATACACATAAATTTATTGTGTGCATAGTAGTTAATCGTAATTTGCTTACTGGGAACGTAAAGACTTTTTAAGGCTGGAAAATTTCCAAAAGGTTTGATTAGTTTTGCTTTGAGAATTGAAAGCCATCTGTAAAACTAAGCTTGTTAGTAGAAATAACGAAGACAGTGAGATCGAGTAATAGCCGTTTAAGAAGTATAATCATTCCTAATGAAGAAAATTTGAATGATAAGAAAAGAGCTTTTTATGAAATTTGTGTTTCGAAATTTACACATGATAATTGTATGGCTTTTTAAGAATTTTAACTCGACTTTTGTCACAAGTTTCACAAATTTTTTGAACACTAAACATATCGCTGTTATTGGTTTCAATTACAATCATTTTCATCTGTATATGAATATATAATAATTCTCATCATCAAAATCCTATTCAAGCTTTGAAAAAAAAGAAACATAGATCTCGTCCTCCCTAATAAGTTGAAATATTTTCTTTATTAAAGACGGCTGCCAATTACATTAACATCAATTATATCTAGAAAATATTAGTTCTTGTTAACAGTTTTATAACAGGCAGATTTGAGTGGATATTATTTCCAACAGCAAATTCGTGTAGTTTTTCATGGTATTTGACGATTCATTTCTATCTAGATGCTCGATACTAAAGCAAGAGCATCTAGGTAAAAGAGTTAAAAGCTTTGATTTATCCAGATGCATCTGTATCATCACTTAGTTTTACTGTCGACTCTCACTAGTCGTTAAGTTCGGGTTTTTTAGTAAAGTGAGACAAGAAAACTCTCTCTCAATAACCAAAATTAAACTAAGTACCAATACAGAATGTATAATATATTTAAAAATAACGATAAAAATACATATGCAAGACTAACATGAAGTAAAAAGACCACTAACTAGTCCAACAACTTTCTAACTCTGGTGTCATAAAAGAAAAAAGAAAAACTAGATAGAAATAACTAGAGATGATACAATATATAGACCTAGAATAATAGTGATCACAACCAGACGAAAAAACAATAAGTGAACGAAATAAACTAAATAAATAGAAAAAAGAAAAGAAAGTCACGACGGCTGTTGACGTTGTTGCTGTGGCTATTCTGTCAGTTCGGGATCGGCCGTTTAATCTTTGTGGTTTTCTTCTTATGCTGTGATTCTATGCGTTGAAAGATATATAAGACTGATACCACATCGTTCGCTGCGTATTTTTCCATATTGCGTCGTAATAATTCCTGTTGAGAACGGAGGACAGGATCACGAAATTTCCACGTTCCAAGATTAAGATCAATTCCACCAGACCATTTAGCACATGTATATGCCTTATCTAAAAATTGCTCAAATCCAAGAGCGATTGCACGTTGAAGCGACCACGCATTCGGATTGTAAGGATCTTTGTAAGGTCTGAATTCACATGTACATAATTCATGATCCGGGTCATGATCGAATTCCAAACTATCCTGCGAAACAGCTAAATCTAATTCATCATCAACTAATGAAATTTGTTCTAAACCAGGACAATCTGATGCATGCGGATGATGATGATTATAGTACGGCCGAAATTCTTTTTGCATATTTCTGATATATACGATATTGGACGGTTTAAATAAATTAAAATGTCGAAATTTCTCTAATTCATCGTCAATTCTACCCCACGCAATAAACTCATGCTGTTCTTGAAAAATAACATCGCATAATTGTTTTATCAATTGTCCATGTGACGAAGACAACGGTGACAACCACTGCACTTCGATCAAAATAACTAGCAGTGGAGAACAAAACGATGGAACCGGTAGAATTTGAATAAGTGATGGTTTTGCTGGAGTGGTTGATGGATCCGATTCCGTATCCAAAACAAATGATGTTATTTTGCATGCTCGAATAGTATCAATCAAATACTTGATTGCTGATTTTGTCGTCTGTTTGTGGATGTAATAAATTTGTGGTACGATTTCAATTATTTGTTTTGTTGACGTAGTTGTTGTAAATTTAAACATTGGATATTTATGACGTAGTTCTTCATTAAATAATTGTTTTTTATGACCATAATACCAAGAAGAAATTTTTCTTAAGGAGTTCATCTACAAATAGACAAATCGAGAGAAAATACTAATTTTCTTCTAAACAAATAAGATACTTTAAACTATCATCTGGATTTCTCAAGTATTCAATTAATTCCTGTTTAAATACATTCCAATCATTATTTATTATTTGCTGTGATTTTACACAGCATGAATCAAACAAAATACTGGGCAAACGTTTAGACGCTTCATCGGTCCAACACACTAGTGGATAATTTAATTATCCAAATATCAATTCAATAAACTTAAGCCACTGACTGGGGCTCTCAACTGTATTTTCCACATCAGGAAGTTTTGCTAACAGCTGTTGCTCAATTTGTTTTGCTGTTGCTAATGCCTTTTCTAATTGTTCCAGAGGATCGTGATACTCACTTTCGAACTGTTGTTCCATTTGTGTTTTATGAGATATTTCGTTACTCAAATTAATAGATACGGGAGATAATGAAGAAGAGAATTTGCAATGGCTAATAGTGTAATAATGCCAGACTGGCCACTAGAATTCTGATTAGGTGGCGGATTTGAACAAAGTGCTGGTGATAATTGTAAATAGTCTATTGATAGATTTATAAGAGCAACCTTTGATCTTGTACGCATACGCTACTGTTTTTCGCAAATACCTATAATCACTAATAATTCGACATAACAACTGTTTATTAATTATTATAATAGATAATTGGTCAGACCTCTACTTGTCATCACTTAGTTTTACTGTCGACTCCCACTAGTCGTTAAGTTCGGGTTTTTTAGTAAAGTGAGACAAGAAAACTCTCTCAATAACCAAAATTAAACTAAGTACCAATACAGAATGTATAATATATTTAAAAATAACGATAAAAATACATATGCAAGACTAACATGAAGTAAAAAGACCACTAACTAGTCCAACAACTTGCTAACTCTGTATCCTATTTACACTCGAACTGCTTGAATCAAAATGCATGCTTTTATATATATATATATATATCCAAAAGAACAACGACATGTGTCATAAAAGAAAAACTAGATAGAAACTACTAGAGATGATACAATATATAGACCTAGAATAATAGTGGTCACAACCAGGCGAAAAACAATAAGTGAACGAAATAAAATAGACGAAATAGAAAAAAGAAAATGAAATAGAGAGACGAAAAAGTGGACCACAGTCAGTCACGCACACACACATGTGAAGAGAGATAAGACAAAAAATAGAAAACTAAATACTATAAAGAAAACGCAAGGACTAAAGCATTAGACTTAACAATCTGCATGACTGGATATTTATTTCTTAGTCCTAGTCAAGACAACATGAATGTTTTTAATTCAAATGACTAAGTAAGTACAATGGATTTGGATATGAGAAACAAATTGGCAGAAAATCTGTATCATTTTCGTTTACATGTTGGTGTTGAGAAAGTTTTTATATCTAAATTGAATTATTTAAAGTTCTTTGATATCTTGTGGATTTTAAAATTTAGACAGAATCGTTGCCACAACTACCTGAAAGATTTTGTGTGTCGATTGCGCTAATGTTAATGGAAACCGGAGTGCTCTGATAAGGATCAGTCATGTCAGTCGAGATGCCATCCTTCAAATTTTCATTAACAGTGTTCGAAGACATAGTTTTGGTGGAAACACCTAAAGTTTGTATTGCTGCAGCTTCTATTTCATCTAGTGTTTCGGCATCAATATCATCCAAAAAACTTTCATCAGTCGCAAGTATGGTTTTTGGAAGAGTTGGTTTCGTATCAGCCGGACACTTGTAAACGATCCAAAATCGAAAACCGTTCCGCCGGTTCGAAGAGCTTTGTTGTATGCTAAATTATAGCGAATTTCAGAACATGCAACTTTATCCTTATGTTTAAAAATATCATGCAAACGATGCGAATCGAAGGTTTTTTCATCCATAAATACAACATGAATTGTCCAACTCTTTGTGATATCATTTCCTTTGCTGACCATGGTCATTGCGACAATAGGATTCATTTGATTACTACCGAAGTGTTGAGTAAATTTTTTTAGAATATCTTTCTCATTCTGAGTACTAGAAGATCTAATGCTATATCCATGCATCACTATTAGTATCGAATATGGAATAAATCCGATAAATAAATAAAAAATAAATAAATTTATCTGAAAACTGAAATGAATTCTGTATATAGGGAATGTTAAAATGTAAAAAAATGAAAGCTTAAAAAAAGTCATTATGAACAAGATAAACCAGGAAAGGTACTTATTGCAGGATGATGAAAACATTATCATTACAGTGAAAGGATTTAAAAAATGACAAATAAAGAAAAAAAACCTTGCACAAAACTAACTATACAAATGTAATTTCTGACAAGGAAAAACTTAAATACAAGTTCAGTTATAAGTTAATAATTCATTACGATGTTAGCCTTCATCGCCGTCAGATTCTTTTAATTTCTCCAGAATTGTAGCATGCAGCTTGTAAATACGTGCTGGAATTGCTACCATATAAGAGATATCATAAATTGTCGACCATATGGCGTCATAAAACGAAACTGGTTTAGGTAGCGATCTTTTTAGTAGCATCTCTAGAAATTGTGCATGATCGAACGAATAAAGACATGAATTTTTGATTAGGCATATATTACAGTCGTTTGGTTCTGTTGCATCATGGTCTGTTTCGCATCTTATAAATTTCAAATCTTGACTCATTTCTTTGAGAATTGGTACCAAGAAGGATTTCATAAGGGGAAAACTCTTTCTGTAGTCAAGCAAATACATATCC